ACTGAGAAGTAAAGGGCAAAAAGGACAGGAGCCATGACACACTCTTGCTTGGTGCCATTTATAACATCAAAGGATTCTGATATCATACCATCAGACACAATATTAGCTTTCATTCCTCCATGAAAGGAGATAATGACCTTTAGCATGTTTTCTGGGATGCCAAGTTTCCTCAAGACTTGCCAAAGAGCCTCTCAATTCACAGTGTCAAAGGCCTTCATCAAGTCCACAAACACCATGTACAATTCCTGGTTTTTCTCGCAAACCTTCTCTGCAACTTGATGAAGAGAAAATATCATATCATGCGATTCATATCATGTCATGTGATTCAGGATAGATGTCATCAACATGGTGTATAATGATTCTGTTTAGAATCAGCCTAGCTAGGATTTTGCCTGCATTTGAAAGTAGTAATATCCCCTAATGATTATCACAGGCACACCTGGAACCCTTGTTTTTGTAGAGGTGTTTGATAGAGGTGTCTTTATAATCCTGTGGGACACAGCCCACCTTCCATATCTTCATGAAAAGGAGATGCAACTTTTCTACCAACTTTTGGCCACCATGCTTATACACTTCAGATGGAATAGGATCCTTAAAAGTAGGTGATTTTCCAAATGAGATTTGCTTGATGGAGTCAATTACCTCTTGAGAGGTAGGTTCAAAAGAAAACTCAGGAATTTCTGGATTTTGCTCAACTGATGTGATGGCTTCCTCATCAGTAACCAAAGTGGTGTTTAACACAGTTTTGAAATGCTTTTTTCAGTGATCTAAAATGTCTGACTTATCCGTCAAGAGAGTTTCACTATCTGCTGTGGAGATTGGAGCAACACCACTTTTCTGAGGACTGAAAATGCTCTTGAGGCCAGCATAGAAAGCCTTTACATCCTTTCTATCTGAAGCTTCTTGGAGTTCAGTGGCTTTTTCAGACTACCAACACTCTTTCATGGCTCTGAGAGCTCGTTGAACCTGACTTTTGCACTTCTTGTAAGCGATCTTTTTATCAAATGAATTCTTGTCCTCAATCCATGCTTTATGAGAAGAATGTATTTGCCTTGATGTTTATGATGTGGTAGGCTGAGGACCTCCAAGGATGTAGAATGTTTTGCTTCCTCCAGAGCCTTCTAAGATGATTCGATGTCATTGATAATGTTTACAGAATCAAGTTTGTCAGAGAGCTCAATTTTCATTTCAGGCAATTTAAGAGGCAGTACATTAATGTGCTTGAGCACTAGATTTTATAATCATTCGCTTTTGCAGATGTAGTGTAGCTTGACTCCAAAGTAGAGCATGATCTGACAGATAGCATGTGGAATGAACGTGTTATCTTAAAATCTTTTATGTCCCGTCTTTTGGTGATGACATAGTCAATTAGATGCCTGTCTTTCGAACGAGGATGCATCCACATGGTCTTACAACAGCTGGGTTGCTGGTAGAAGGTATTAGTAATACTAAGGTCAAATTCCTTGAAGATAGTGAGAAGGCGTAATCCATTTGAATTCACACGACCAATACCATGGTGACCTAAAACGCCCTTCCAAGAATGATAAACATTGCCAACACAAGCATTGAAGTCACCTGTAAGGATTAACTTATCCTTATGTTGGACTTTTCTTGATCTGAACTACCTAAGGTTGGTACATAGCAGCTAACCATCGTCACATAGGTGTTTCACTCCAGTTTGACGGTTAATGTCATTATATGATCTGATACACTTTTAGGTAAGGAAGGCAGTGAGTTAGCAAGGTCTGACTTGATGGAGAAGCCAACACCAGACTTGCCGAGCCCATAAAAGCATGTATCCACCTTTTTCTTCTCTAAGCTGAGAACTGCCAGCTAGACGTTTTTCACTAATGGCTACTATGTCGATGCTATACTTCTTCAACTCAAGAGACACAAGAGCTGGTGCAGAATCATTGTCCTGGAGAGTGCGAACATTCCAGGATCCAAAATGAAAATTCTTCTCATATTTCTTTTGATCTTTCTTGCTGTTTTGACTACATTATTGGATAACCAGACAGCTGCAGTAGGCTTCCAAGTCTCTGTGTAAGCAAGCAATGTTTAGAGCTCCTTTTATCGCCCCCCTCCCCATAATAAGGAAAGCAATGCAGATCCTAAATAGGGTTGCTTTGTCACCGATGGAGGACACAGACATCACAATTGCTCATGGATTTGTGAAAGAACAGCCATCACCCATTGGTCTGCCACTGTGTAGAGCTCCAGTGTAGAGTTCCAGTTAGAGCCTTCCAGCAATACCTTTACCTGACGCCGTCATCTTCACTCTCTCACCAGTGGACCTTGAAAGTGAACTGTGTGGATAAGAATGAACGAATCAAGGTAAATCACCAGAAAACCTACACAAGTGATTTGATTAAAGTGATGAGGGCTTGTGCAGAACCATCCACACTTTTTGGAACTATTGATACACTCAGTTGGTGCAAATAAATGCCACAGATGAAGCAGACAATAGACCTAAAACTTTTTGTATAAGAGTTTTCCATTTCCTAGACCAGTGGTGTTCTATAACATTAAAGAGCTTGGTCAGCCCTGGTATATATATATATATATACAATGAAATTTGTCAGCTGAATGATGTTATATTCATCACCTCAACCCTGGAGTTTCATAGATAAACCATATAGTAATCGTACTATCCACTCATCAGGAGGCTTCAGCAATTCCCTGCAAACTTTTTCATTTTCATTATAGTGGGAGTCTTGGATCTGGGGTTCTAAAATATACTAAAACTTTTCTGATGTTTCGGGGTGACATCCAGGTTATTTCCATTTCAGATCTTGATCTGTGAAGAAGTCATTTTACTAGGTAATTTTCAGCACAAACATCAGTATTCTCTTGTCATGCAGATGTACCATTACATCATCTTCTAGACTGGTTGTCAATCAAGAATAAAGAGCCCAGTTTGCACTAGTATTTAGCCCAAAGCTAGGAGGGAAATGAGAGATGGATTTATACCTTTCCCAAGGATATATGTCAATGTAATGTAATGAACTCAACTCTCCAATTCCAACCTGCTCTCCATATATATATATATATATATATATATATATATATATATATATATATATATATATATATGGTTAATACAAATATAAAATTTGTCACTTAGCTGATTGACATTATATTAAGCACCCTGATTCCAGAGTTTTGTAGATTAACCTTTTTTGTAATTGTTTCAGTAATTGACTGAATATTTTTTCATTTTCATTATATTTATATTAAGTTAAAAAATTATTTTATACACCAGTTATTGTTGCGAGGTTGATTTTTTCTCTTTGTGTATGTGTGTGTGTGTATGTTTGTGTATGTGTGAGTTTGTGTATGTGAGTTTGTGTCGAATGATGTGGTGATTTCTCCATTTCATCATTTTCTTGTCTTCTTATTCTCCTTCCCTCTTCTTTTTCTTTCTTTTTTCTCACTTTTGGCTCTGAGTGTCAAAGATAATGTAATTTATACATTTTCTAAAGAATTCATGGATTTTATTTTTTAATCCAACATATTTTTATTACTTCAAACATTATTTGTAGTGGATACCCATATTTGTGTAGAAGCACTGTTTTTTTTAAACAGGGTTTATGTTGTCTATGAACCTGTATGCTTAAGAAAACTTAATAATGAAAATGTGAACTTTGATTAGAACCTACATTCCCCTTTGCAGGAGAAACCACCTTCAGATCTGGTATACTTTAAGGCAAATAGAAGCTTGCTTGACTGTGAAGCTCTCCATAGCTGAGCAGTCAAAGCATGCCAGATCAGACAGTGGTCTCTCCTGTAAAGGGGAATGTAGACTAGAATCCTCTTGGAAGGTACATCTTTATTAACTTTTCCTGAGTACACAGGCCTGTAGATGAAATAAATACTGGTTAAGAAAATGGAGTATCTACTCAAATAATAAGGGCATCCATTAAAAATAACATTTGAAGTAATAAAAATATTTTTGCATATATATATATATATATATATATATATATATATATATATATATATTTGGAGGAAAGATGCATGACAAAAAATAATTCACTAAGAAGAAAATGTATAGAAAGTGGTTTAACTGCTAGATCATCCACAGTATATTTGCATCCATGTTCTTATGTTTCACCATTTGTGGTAGATCTGTTATCACAATGTTGGATATTCAACAACAAAGATGATGGAAAGAAAAAGAGTCTAAATGAAATTGTTCCGATTATATACCCACAACAAATTAAAAAAAAATTTTTTTTTCTAAATTTAAAATTCCCAGCATCTCTTGCTTGTGCGCATGTGTAGTCACATTAATGTAAAGAAACCCAGTCCCATGAAGTCCTAAGGTATGAAATGTGTCACAAAACTTTTTCCACTTTGTTATACATCTTTCCCCCAAAACTGTTTTTGATATATAAAAATTATCATAATCCCATATATATATATATATATATATATATAGTGCGATGGGTAAATTGTTGCCATTTTATTTTTAATTTTGTGCATTCGTGTTGTTTGTTTTTGATGTTGTTGACTGCTGCTCAGTATAGTATGGTCAGTTAAGCACCATCTATGATAAAAAAAAAGCACCATGATACAATTCATTCTGCTAGAAATTTGGATACTGCATACTGTGCTGCTTGGTATTCATGCTGGAAGTGCCAATACAAATATTTCAGAGTGTTTGGATGTCAATCTGAGGACAGTGCAGAGAATTTGAAAAGAGTTGGATGAGTCTAATGGTGATTATGAAAGTACAGCAGCTGGGAAAACTCACTCTAATTGTTCTGATAAAAAAAGAACTGCCGAATTAGTTAGTGAGGGCCTCAGACTCAACAGGGATTATGGCAGCATTCACCAACTTAAACAAGTAGACCATTCAGAAGAGTTGCAACAGGATTCTGAAAATGCCTGGAGGCTGTGGTTTTATCATATCCATACCTATATATATATATATATATATATATATATATATATATATATATATATATATATATATTAGTCTAAAAGTTGTGAAAATATCAGATATGATTATGAGAAAGTCTTTTGAAGATGTACTTACCTACTTTACAGATGTACATTATCAATAACTTCATTTTCAAATTAGGACATGTATCATTAATACCATGAATGGTGTTATGATATGTGCATTCATGCTCCCAACAACTGAAATAAAGTGTACATTTCATAAGATTTCCTTATATTAATTTTGCTTTTAACAGAATATTCCACATGCCATCTCCACTCACTCTCTTACACTTTATAACTCAACATAACTGGTTCTTTAACAAATTTCCCACAGTAATAAAAGCACAAACCTTAAAAAGTAGATTGGTTGTTAACTGGGGCAAAAAATAACTTGTAAATTTTAATCCCTCCAAAATGAAAAAGCTATTTTTTAAACAATAGAGACCCATTATTGCCTTCCTTCAATATGGCCAGTGCTAAACTCCAGGAGAGTAACCAATTGTGCCTTCATAGTCTCACATTTTCTACTGACATGAAGTGGAGTGATGATATTGAAGTAATTGCTTGGTTCACTGTGTCCATCTTGCATATTTATAAATCTGCCATTTGTGCATGCATTGAATATTGTTGCCATATCTGGTCTGGAGCTCATGTAATATATTATGAGATTCTCAACAAAATCCAAAGAAGAGTAGTAATATTATCAGTCCTGATCTGTCATCTTCAGTCATTTTCTTACTGCCATGATGTGATATCTCTCTGTTTTTTCTATAAATATTTTCATTGCAATTGTTCTAATGAGCTCTCCTCCTTGGTATCTTGACTGCACAAATTTAAGCATACTATTAGATTGGTTACTAGGTCTCTAGTTTTACTGCTGAAATACCTAAATGTAACCATAAGTTATATTCTAATAGTTTCTTTTCTTGAACTTAAAAAATTTAAACACAGTGTCAATGAGCATCTATCTTCATTAAACCTGTTCTTTTATTTTCCTTCTTCTCAATTAAGTTGTTTCATTCTCTTTCACTTACAGCAATCCCTTGTGTCTTAGGGGCATTATTGCCTTGTTTGGGATGAAATGATTAAAAAAAATGCATATTTATCTTCCAAGAATGCAGTTTGTTGTTATTAGATACAAAAATCATATCATGATCATTAGTCCTGTAACTGCTGAGAGTTGTAGGGATACCACATGTACTGTAGCCATAGCAACAGTGGTGTGTGGGGGGCAAAATAGCCTGACAGAGCCCGACCCTCTCCAGGATGGTTTTGAATTCAGAGTTTTCCTTCCTTTGGAAACTGGTTGCTAACCAAGGCTATAGAGTCCAATTTGTCCTGCTACTTAACTTATAGCTGGGGTGAGAAGAGATGAATTTATTCTTTTTTTCTAAGGGTATTAGTGTGTAAATGAATGTAAAAACTCAACTGGAATTCAAACTTCACTCTTGGATTTCTCATTCTGAACCATTATGCCACCGTGCATCCAACCCAGTCTATGATAGCTGTTTAATAAAATTTTACAGGTTTAAATAAAACATAAAAATTGCACATACCTAAATTTTACATCTTCTTTTGCATCAATCACACAAGTATTTTCGTTATCACTATATGTTGCATTAACAATGTATATCCTGGCATTCAAAGGACATGAAAGCCTGTGTACTTTATCTTTTTGAGTAAGTTGAGTGAATTGTAACATACTCTGACCTGAAGAAAGAAAAAAAGTTAATGACATGATGAAATATGTTATTTTTTTTTGTTTTATCTTGGCTCTATGTTATGAAAATGAAATTTTATGCCAGTAAGTTGAATCAATGCAAAGGTATAATCAGGCTTTTATGAAAGATGCCCCCAAAATAAGATACAGATAAACAACTAGAATTTAAACATTGTGAAAGCAAAAAACACAAAACAATAGTGGGATGCCAAAGCAGCATTAAGTGCATGCATATATGACATCACAACAAGGATAGCTGCTACCATAAAACAGTGAATAAAGTGTGATATGCTGTAAGTTTCTGCATGTCAAGGGCAAAAATCCAACTGAAATTTACTGTTAACATAGTATTGTGTATGGTACACATGTAATAAACAAGAAGTAGGTATCAACCTGTCTGTTTGTTCACAGAGGAGAATACAGATTTGCAGGACAAGTCTTACGTAGGCCATCTATGTTCATCAACAACAGAAGACTACATTGCACACATTAAAGCATTAAGTTTTGATTCCAAATGATAAACAACACAAACTTTATTATATAGCTCTGGAACTTGATCTTCTGAAGTTAGTGGCCCATGAAACTATCCATGTGAAGTTGGGATATTAGAAAGTGTCATCTTGTTGGGTCCCATAATAATGCTACTCTACACATAACCACCATGACAAAAGAATGGTAATGGTAATAATAGATGTTTTCCTATAAGGAAACATTTGGCGTTCATTGATGGGAACAGCCAATATTGTTTTCAGTTGAAATTTATAAAATCATTCTCTTAAAACAATTTTTGATGGAAATAGGTTTTTCAAGTCCAGTAGATTTTATTGCTGTTTTTGATGCTGAGGATTCCTTCTTAACCTTTTATTTGAAATAGTGTGGAGTGTCAAAATCTTGATTGTCATTATTTTCTCTTCATGTTACATGTGCTATCCATTTTAATTGTTGCTGCTGTTGGTAGTCCTCAAGTGATGTGGTTTCTTTTATTTGGTAGTGTTTTTTGTTCTGTAGTGCCAGTCCACAATGTGCAAAGAAGGATGATCTTTGCTAAGATCCTCAGTCAAAGTCTTTTTTAACAATTGATCTTAGAAAGCAGTTGTATACAGCTGAAAGTTTACATATTTCTGAATGAGTTTGGCAGCATTCATATGCATGTCTCACTGAAAAGGTTCAAGAGTGGCTCCAGTTGCTTGATTTCATGTTTTTCAAAATGGTTTTTATATGCTTGTGTATTGATATATGTCTCAATCTCATTAATTGATTGTATGTAAAAGTAGCAAATTAATACTGGTAGCATATACACAATGCTTTATTTGTATAGTAATTAACAGGTTGGATGAGTAAATATTTAAGCCTCTTGGGACATTCTAGAGATTTGAAATTGATCCAGAATCTATCTTACATATTTATAAGCCTACTATTCATCCTTGCTTTGAATATTGTTGCACGTCTGGTCTAGTGCTTTTGCTATATATTTAAAGATTCTTGATAAAATTCAACGAAGAATCTGCAATATTATTGATCCTGACCTGGCATCTCAATTTTAGTCACTTTTCCACCACTGTAATGTAACTTCTCTGTGCCTTTTTTATAAATACTTTCATGGTAATTTTTCTATGGTACATAAATTTTATGAATTTAAGTACAGTACTAGATTGGTAAGAAGGTCTCATCGATTTACAGTTGAACTGGCAATTGTAAGTTCTATGCTAACAGTTTCTTCTCTTGTACTTCTCACTTAGGGAACTCTCTTCCAACTTCTTGCTTTCCAGGCAACTTTGATCTTCCAAAATTTAAATACAATGTCAATCATTATCTACTATCTTTTTGATTCCTCTCCTGTTATTGTTCTTGCTCCTTAATAATATTTCTCTATTTTCTTATTCTTTCACACTTAGTAATCCCTTGTGTTTTAGTGGTTTTACTTCCTTGCTTGGTGTGAAAAGATCAAGAAAAAAAAAAGATCCAATGCATAACATGTGATATTAAGAGTTGTTTATGTCTAAAGAATGTAGAACAAATCTGGTTATGATTCAGTTGATAATTTTGTTAAAACTGCTAACTACTTTTATGGACACAAAATTTAAAAAGAAAAAATGAAAAAAACAACTGGTTGTCAAAAGAGATGACCAAGATTTACCACTCCATAGTGGAAGGATTCTCAAACTAGTTCGAATATATGGATGAGGAGAAACAATCAACAGTAATGAACAATAAACACCAATATATAATTTAATAGGATTTAATTATAACAAGATGATACATGAAAATATTAATGCAAGATAGTGCTTGGAAAGATGTTTGCTATACATTTCTGTGTGGAAAGATGTCTGCATTATATATCTGAGATAAATAGTTAAAGCCCACTTAGCTTTAGTTATTCACACTTTCTTTTGTTTTATATTTCTCTTTTGTTCTTTTTACTTTCAGTTTAGTTTGTTTTGCCCCTGCAGTGATATCTTTTGCAATATTATTCTTTCTTCACTGTTATGAGTTTTGACCCCAAGAGTTGGTCATTTACTCTCTTCTTCACATATTTAGCAATAATATAATAATTCATTGCTTGGGTAGGAAGATTCAGTGCTCTATAAGTATTAGCCTGTGTCTGGTTGAGTGGGGTACACATGCCTATCATAGGTGATTATCATGTTTGGTAATTCACCTGTGTATTTGACATATGCAGCATAGTGTGTTGAGTTGAGTTCAATTGGAACTTGTCTTCACTGTGTGATTTCTTTTGCTTGATGGTAGCAAATAAAAAGAGATGTTACTCACTTAAGACTTGGATTCCAATTAATTCCTTTCATTATTTTCCCATTCAACATTTCGTATTGGATCATGTGATTCGGTATGTGTGAGAATTTATTTTTAGATCTCACTTGTACCTGTTGCTAGGTCATCAGCTTGTCTGACCTAATTGTTCTTGTAGTCAGCAACTACTATTATGGATTGAAAGAGTGAATATACTATATTACAGTAGGGTGAAAAGAGAGATGGTTTGTTAAATGTAAAATGTGTGTGGTTAGGGATTTTGGTTGTATAAAGATATAACACTACTATATAAATGTATCTGAACATAATGCATATAGTGTTAATATTTTAAATGTATATTCTGTGTTTGAGAATGAAATATAGGCATTGTTTAACTTTTGTGCTTTGTGTGACAAAAAAGATTTATTATTTAACATTTTATAAAGAAATAAATTTGAATATAAATTTTTGAATCAAAAATTTATAAAAAATTACAAAATTATCAAAATATGTAAACTAACTACAATGCAATATTTATTATTTACTATTTTATAAATAACTATGAAAACAAGTTTTCAGTTCAATCTAATAAATAAATAGTGTTTAATATCAATTCTCAAGAATAAAGAAAATGTATAAATCCACTTTCATTTGTTCAGGTTTTATTAAAATTCTAATCATTGCTTTTTAAAAACAATAAACATTGTCAAGAGAGTCAAAAGTGTATACAGCAATATCAGTGTCAAGGGAATAACTGTCCTTTTGACAGACTGTTTTTTCCAGGTACAAAGATTAAACATTGCTGGAATATATTTTACATATGAGTGATAAATATCACTCAGTAGCCACTCACATCTATCAGAAACTGTAGATAGTTTTGTATATATATATATATATATATATATATATATATATATATATATATATATATATATATATATATATTTGGTGGCCTTTGTTAGGACCAGAAATAAAGACACAAAAAAGGAATTGATTTAAACAAATATATTAACAGAAACAGTAATGAGAGTGTTACAGCAAGAATGTTCAGTTCGGCTGTCAGAGCTGACTGCTGAAATCTTCCCTCTCCAAAAAGCAGTACCTGCTCCTATTTATAGCTGGGAGAGTCCATGTGTGCATGAGTAAATTACCATGACATATATATATATATATATATATATATATATATATATATATATATGCACACTTTTGAACACTTATTTAATTACACAGGAACAAATGCTCTTTTATGCAAATTTCTAATCAGCCAGTAGTGTAGAAACATTTTAATGGATACAAGCATGTAAATATGGTCATTTTGACTTACTGAATTTCATTTCATGCATAAGTATGCAAAAGTGAGGTCATTTAAGTGACTTTAAATATAGCATGGTTGTTGGCACCTGAGAGGCAGGCCAGAGTATTTCAAAAACACTGATTAACTAAATAATTAATAATCCAGGTCACATGACATAGGTTAAAAGATACTTATATATATATATATATATGTGTGTGTGTGTGTGTGTGTGTGTGTGTGTGTGTGTGTGTGTGTGTGTGTGAGTCATTTAGAAACACTTGGATACATGAATACCTATGATGTTTGGGTGTCTCAGCAAAAATTTAATGGAGCACATTTCCATCTGCAATTTTCTGTGCAAAGGTAACAAAAGTGCCTCACTTTTGATTAAAAATGGCCACAGATGATAAAAAATAGTTTGATCCCAACAATGATGTGGAGAAAAGGCTCTAGGGAAAATGAAATGAGCCATTGTTAACCATTCCAAAAGCTGGTCTGCATCCAAAGAAGGTGATGCTGTGTATCTGATGGCATTGGAAGAGCATTGGGTAATACAAGCTCCTTCTGCAAAATCAGATGTTGAGTACAGACAAGTATTATTCTCAACTGGACTGATTAAAGATTGATTAATTAATTCGTTTTCTATGTCTTATCAACCCTTCGCAGGTTATTTAAAGCCAGAAAATATTTTTTAGATTGCAACAATATTTTTTTTGAGAAAATAATGATTTCATGATACAAGTCTTACTAATTAATGGGGTGGAGAGATAGAATCATATTTTTCCCAAGGTTATTTGCACATAAGCTTCTATAACGAACTCAACTGGAATTGGGACAAAGCTCTCCAAGTAACAATTCTGAGCCATTATACATTACACCACCTGCATATTCAAGCTTACAGCACTTGGTATTTTCAAGCAGTCACCCATCTAGGTACTGACCAAGATCAACATTGCTTAAATTCAATGACCATGTGGGAACTGGTGTTTCAACATGATATGGCCATAACCTATAGACCAATTAAAGGTAGTAATTGATAAAAGCATCCAGAATTGTTCAGTTAGAAGAGTGTTGTCTGCCATCAGGACATTATCTGGCCTCATGTCTATTTAACTAACAAAATTAGTACAGCTTTGCTTGTATACCATACTATACCAACCTTACTCACCTGGCCTTGCACCTTCAGATTCCTACTCATTTTAATCCCTACAAAATTCTTTTAATGGAAAGAACTTCAATTCTCTGGAAGCATGTAAAAACTATTTAGACCAGTTCATCACCCAGAAAGATATCAAGTTCAGGGAGCAATAAATCATGAGGCTGCCTCAAAGATGGTGAAAACTAGTGGAACAAAATGGCATATATTTGGTTGAATAAATCCATGCACACATATCTAAATATTTAAAATTCTTTAAAATTCATTAAAAAAAATACCACAAACTTTTGTTTCAACCCAATATAATAAATACAATTATAAATGTATAATTCTTATATCATTGTACCCAGCAAGTCAAAATCAACTGAACCCCAAAATATTTCCTCTATCAAAAAGGTATCTTTGATCAAAGATATATTTTCATTGTAAATATAAGAGAGGTTCAATGAGTTACATTTTATAGCTTGTGAATTCATAGACAGACAAAATAACAAAAGTTTTTACAGATGAACATACTCTGTATACAAATACAATGAAAAAAATATTGCTGAAAAGAAAATTTAAGACAACAACAATTATTCTACTCACCTGACATACACTTATAGCGTAAATTTAAATATTGCTTAGTGCCTTGGGGACAGGAAGTTTTCATGCCATCATTTACTTGAAGAAAAACACATACCTGTTTGTAGTTACACCTGAGAAAAAAAAGTTATAGGAATAGTGACAACCAAGATAAAATATATTTAGAAAGATTTTTCTCTTTAGTTTTACAGTGAAAATATTGCTAGAATTTTATACAGTTTTTGACCGAACATTTTTCTTAGATATGACAGATTTGTTCTAGTCGCTATTTTATCACTGTAGAATAAGGTGCTATACATAGCATCAGTAAGAGACAGTTTAAATTTCTAGCGCACATAATGAGGAAAGAGGGTTTGGAAAATTTGACACTCACAAGACATATTGAAGGAAAAGTGGGACATAGAAAAGCAGTGCTTATCTACCTACCTACCTACCTACCTAATGAACTTGTGTAAATGGTTGACAGAAGAAGGATTAGGAGATATAGCAAAAATACAAACTTTACTAAGGGCTACAAAGGACTGGAAGAAGAGACACAGCACACAGAAGAAAGAGAAGAATAAGATGGAGAGAAAGGCTTGATCATGAATGTCTGTAGGAAACAGTTTGAAAGGAAAAGGATGTGCAGTTATCAGCAGAGAAATTGGAATCAGTGAGTTGAATTCACAAGAGCATCCAGCAATAAACTTGAAATCCTCAATTCAGATTAAAATAACAATATTTGTTACTTGAATAATATTTTTTTTAATTGAGTTCACTCCAAGCAAGCCACCGAGTCACAAGAGGTTATTGGGTGTGGAAGAGTTAGTAACAGGAACATTGCTAATGAGTGCGAACAGAGGAAGAGTAATCAGGAGAAGAGCAGATAGCTATTGACAATGCATTTAAATTTTTGCAGATTAAAGTTGGCTGGAAAACATAGAGCTGTAAGGAAGTTCCACAAGTGAGAAGTGCAAGGAAATAAACTGTTAGCATAGAACTTATGGTTACATCTAGCCAGCTCAACTGTAAATTGATGAAACCCCGTCACCAGTCTAGTGCTTATATTCAAAGAGTCTAGGCACCATTCAAATAATTACTATGAAAGTATTTATAGAAAAGGCAAAGGGTGGTGATATGAAAGTGACTGAAGCCAAGACACCAGATAATGGCAAATAATATTGCTGATTCATCTTTGGATTTTATCAAAGAGCTCTAGATAAATAGCAGAAGCACCAGACCATATGTGGCAGTAATGTTCTAAGCATGAACATATGATAGACTTTATATTTATATTTTTAGGGAAAATTAATTTAAAAAAAGGAAAAAAACAACTGAAGCAGTATACTTACTTCCGAGCTAAACTGTATTGATTAAAAACATCTGAACAGTTAGAATCTTTGTTTCCATATTCTCCATATGTGATAACAATGTGGAATCCAGTTGGACATGAGATGGTCAGCTTATCTGTATCTTGGGCCTTTACTTTAGTAACAGACCAGGCTACAAACAAGGATAAAAGAATTAGGAGAAATAACATAATAATTTTTCTGTTTTTAGATACATATTTGAGTAATTATATCAATTGATTCGAGTGTCATTTCTTCTATAACAGTTTTTTTTTCTCATACTTCCCACCTGTGGAACACCCTTCCAATTTCCTGCTTCTCTGATAATTACAATCTTCAGAAATGTAAATACGACATCAGTCACCATCTTTTGTCTTCTTGGGGTTTGTTCCTTTTTGCCCTTTCCTCAACCTTCCTCATTTTCAATCTTATTCTTATTCACTTTCACTCCCTGTAATTCCCTGCATTCTAGTAGCATTGTCACCTTGCTTTTGGTGAAATGGTTAAAAAGAAAATTCTATCTGTAGTTCTGAGTTATCATTATTTACACTATTTACATTTGACTATTGCCTTCATTTTTGTTGTTGTTAAAATAATGTATGATAGATAAAATGTATGATAGATAAAAATTCCACAGTAGTTGACAACTAAGGTTATCCATAATCTCATGACTCTGCATCAGGTGTACCCAGATTGATATACACTTGATGAAGGCTGGAAGACACAACAGCCGAATAGTTGTGATAGCAACAACAAAGATGAGGACAATAGTCCGAATGAAAATAGTGTAAATAACTGATGTCAAGTGGAACTCAACATATGAGGCAAAAGATGCAGATAAAATGGTTGGCTTCCTGTACTTCTCCAGTAAGTACCTGACTTCATGTGCTATCCAGATAAGACAAAAAAAAATGGAATACTGTTGTCATATTTGAATGGGAGCTGCCCAGATATATCTGAGTCCTTGTGAATGACAAATTATTTTCCACCCTCCAACTTCTCTCTCACAGGTGGGATGTGGCAAGCCTCTTGCTACTCTATTGCTACTTTCGCGGAAAGTGCTTGGATGAACTACATTCTTTGTTTCCACCAGTTCTATCACAGCAAGGACTTGCCATGCCACTTACATTGTAACAAAAAATCCCCATTCCCTCTGTATTCCATTGTTGAGAAGAAAATTCCACTTGAACAGCTTCTTCCCATGAACAACTGCTCTATGGAACTGACTCCCAAGAGGATGTTTCCCCAATCACTGCAATCTTAACCTGTTCACGTCTAGAGTTAATCATTATCTTTCCCTCCTATTTGTAGAAACTGCCTCCTAATGTAACCCTCTACCTTGAGTGGCCCCCAAGCCTTGTACAGGGTGAACCTCACAGTAAAAAAAAAATTTTTTAAGACTTTAAACATTATTATAGTGGATACTTTGTATTTGAAATAGTCGCTATATTTTTATTTATTAAACTGTATGGAGGAACTATATAAAAAATTTGATATATCAAGAACAATTTCAGGAAAGGACAAAATGCATCACACAGAAATGTTTTCCACTTTGTCATTGTTTTTTATTAAACAGTGCATAATGGATATATCAGCCTGCACATTTACATTCACATTCAAGAAAATGCATTCCCCGGTATTCCTTTACTAAGATTTCTCAAATATGCAGGTCAATGGACAGAACACTGTTTAATAAACAAAAATGGGGTGTCTATTTCAAATACAAAGTATCCACTATAATGACATTTTAAGCAATAAAAGTGTTAGATGAAAAATAAATCCATTTATTATATCAACTAATAGCTGAAAGTACTTTCTCCTTTTTTGTGTGTTGTGTCTCTTCAGAATGTAGGTGATGATGGCTCTCCATTACTTCCTATCCTTTGTAGCTCTACGCAATGTTTATTCCCTTTTTCTCTCTCTTTCACAATCCCTGTTCTACCATTCCTTTACACAAGCTTATTAAGTAGTGAAATAAAAAGAAAGCAAAACAAAGAAAAAAAAAGGAAAAGAAACATGGTTGCACATCTCAGTTTCTTGCTCACCCTGGCTGTCTTTAAAAACACCATTAAGAACGCTTTTCTCCTCAATGCTCGGCATCAATCTTGTTTGTTCTTTTATTGTTTTGCAAAATTCTTGATCTGGGTATTTGGATTAAATGGATATGTAAATTGCGTCACTCTCCCAACATCCTGGTTTGTCTATTGTGCGTTCATTCTACACAACCTGAACTGGTTAATGTGAGTCTCACGCATGAATCGCACCAAAATCAATTCTGCTTATGGCTATAAACAATGCATGTTGTCATTTGAATTCTTTTTGTGGTGGGCAACAAACAACACCTTCTCTCAGCAACTCCTTCTTTAGGTTACTCAGTTTCTCCCTTTCCCTTTTGTTTCCAATATGTTCTGTGTGTGTCATATTCTCCAAGCTCTTTATATGTTCCAGAAGTTTCAACCACGTTTCCTGATCATCTTTTGGGACTCAAGCTCTTCCCAGACATCAATGGCTGCTTCCTTGTACTGCTCCAGAAAGTCAGATCAGACCAAAAAAGCTAGGCAACCAGTCCTACTATTCAACCCATAGCTAGAGGGAGAAGAGGTAGATTCATACCTTTCCCAAACATATTTGCACATAAATGAATGTAACAACCAGTTTTTTTTATATTAAATAGCTGGTTTAACCCTCATACAACTCTACTTTTCACATGTTTACAATTAATTTTTTTTCAGTATTACCTAGCACTCTATGACTTAGAATTTTGAAGATTGAATTGCAATAGAGTCATGAACCCATGTCCCTGTTATTTCTCAAAAGCCAATTATATAAATACATGTCAGTTATGTGTCATGCGTGATACATGCTCTGGTGATCATGTATCTTTTGATACATGACTGACGAGGCAGATTTTTTTCCCGGAGTAGGTTGCCATTTCTTTCTGCAGTAGACCAGTTGCCATCCAAGGCTATAGAACCTAGTCTGTCCTACGATTTACCCATAGCTTGAGGGAGAAGAAGAGGATTCATACCTTTCTCAAGGGTATTAGTATGTAAGTGAATATAATGCATTTGACTGGAATTCAAACTCGGCTCTCCAATTCCTCAGTCCGAGTCTCTATCCATTACTTCATAAAAATCACTTTGAAGCTAGTAATATTAAATGCAGTTGTTGTTTATTAAGTTTAGCATGAAGTCACATGTATGGGAGACCTAGTGAGGATCAAATTTATTATTTATTTGGTAAATGTCAACCTGACTAGCTTGCTATCCACTAACTCATACTGAGGTACTCATGCTAAATGCAGTTAGCGTATTTTAAAATTCACTAAAAAATGTTAAGAATGACCTCAGATGTTATTTACACCCAGTATGTGATAGTGAATGCTGAACAATCTCATCACAGATGGCGGAGAGACTTGGGGCAACAGAAATGCGGTTACATAGAAGGATGATGAAAATACCATGGACTGAACATGTGAGAAATGACAATGTTTTAGAGAAAATGGAAACAAAAAGGACACTTAAACATAACATCAGAAAGAATTAAAATTTCTAGTGCACATAAGAAGAAAAGATGACTTGAAAAATTTGACACTCCAGGATATATTGAAGGCAAGAGGGACAGAGGAAAACAGTGTATAACTTATTTCACAAGCTTGGTTATATATAGCAAAAAGGCTACAAAGGTCAAGGTGTGAAGAGCCATGATTGCCCACATCCTGAAGAAGAAGAATATTGGATCTCTCTCTCTCTCACTCTCTCTCTCTCTCTCTCTCTCTCTCTCTCTCTATATATATATATATATATATATATATATATATATATATATATATATGCATCATGTCTTTTCAGAAGATGCACAAACTTCCTTTCTTTAGTTGCTTTCATCAATATCCCCTTCATTATGACTCCTCTTTGTCTATGGGGTACTTTATCCTCCATCCAGTCTGTCCTACTATTCAACCCATAGCTGGAGGGAGAAGAGGTAGATTCATACCTTTCCCAAGCATATTTGCACAATAATGAATGTAACAAACTCGACTGGAATTCAAACTTGGCTCCCCAATTTCTCATTCCAATATCCATTACACCACAATGCATATCTATAGCTTTTGTTGGCAACCAGTCTACTGCAGAAAGAATTGGTAACCTACTGCAGGAAAATTTTCAGATGCTCTCTTCCAACATGCCTAGAGTCAGCATGGAAGAGTAGGCTCATAAAATTAACATGAGAATAATATCTCATTGTCAATGTGCAATTTGCAACAAGCTGAGTAAGTATTTTAGTAATAATAATAAATAATCTGCTATCCATTTGCCAAAACTTATCAAATAGATTTATCTTGAATTTCCTCTACTTCTCCTAGCTTTGATGTGCAAACTGTGAGTTTTAAATTCTCTAAGACTTCCTTCCTCATTATATGCCCTACAAAATTCTACTGTCTCTTTCTGATTGTTAGTGACAATTTCTTTATAGTTTCTATTCTCTTATATTTTTTTTACATTTGTGATTATAGTATGGGAAAAGCAACTACAAATTTTAAAACCTAAAATTCTTTGAATTGAAGAAATCACTCACCTTTTGCAGCTTCTAAAGTAGGAACCAATAAAAATCCAATTTCCAAGATACAAAAGAGAATTCTCCAATGGGATGACAAAACCTTGACAGAAAACATTCTGTTTGAAGATCTATTACCTTTAAATTGAAAAAACTGTATTTCAGGGATTTTATACTGATGAAAGTAGGTCACATAAGCTACACTTTGTCATGTCTGATCAGGAATGAGACAACAATAGGTCAATGATTGATTGCCTTCTTTTTGACGACTAAAAAATTGATTTTGACAATCTTCACAACCTCTGCCAAGATTGTGTCATTGTAATTTTTTATGCATCTATTCACAAACCACTTAAGCTTTATGCAATCCTAAGTGGTTTTGATACAAAAATGATGATTTCATCTATTATGTCTATGTTTATTGCTTACATCTGCATCAGGACACTTTAATCTATTAGCACAGTGTCTGGACCACAAAATGTTTTGTAACTGAAGAGAAATATTTAAATAAGGACAATACACAATAGATAACTGTCTATATTTCTGAGTTGAGGCATTGTAACTATTTACATTGTTTGGACTATTGTACTCATCATTATTGTCATATTCACAATGTTTTGGTTGTTGTATGCTCCAGCCTTCTTCAAGTAATATATGTTGGAATTTCAAACTGAACCCTTTAATTCATCCACCGGGGTAGATTAGTCTAGGTCTCTGTGCCATGCCTCTTCTGAATATCTCAATTTCAATTATTTTCCTTTAGTAAGTCAACTTTCCAAGTTTTTGTTCACCTCTGCTGTGGCCTGATGAACAAAAAACTTGGAGAGTTGAGTTACTGAAGAGAAATAACTGAAATTGAAACTGAAAATGCGTGGCACATGGAACTAGAACAATCTATCCCAGTGGTTGAAATAAAGGGTTTGGTTCGAAACTCCAGCATATATAACCTAAAGACGGCCAGATTGTACAACAACCAAAACATCATGAATATGACAATAAAGATGAGAACAATAGTCCAAATAATGTAAATAGTGTAGACAGAAGATTCCAAAAAATACATAGAATCTACTATTACCTTGCTATTCACAGATTCATAAATGATTTTATTATCAGGAAAATCTTTTTGCTATCCAATAACAAAAACCCACTCCATGATTTTCATGAAGTTGGAATATACTTATTATTGTAATGTCTTTCTATACAATTTTATGTTCTACCTTGAATACAATTTTATTGTATTCTATATATTTTAATTTTAACCTTTTATGCTATAACAGAAAAAAAAACAATAAATATGAATGAACAAATAGCCTACAGTAATGGCTGGTGCCTCAGGTTTTGTGAAATGAGATCCAAGTTGGTATAGGGCAGCCTTAAAAGATTTTGATAAGAATTGACAGTTAGAATAAAACACATTTTTATATGTCCATGGAGGCTGATTTTCTAGGTCACCAAAAAAAAAAAAACAGGAAAAATCTGTCATTGTTTAGAAATTGAGATTGTATTGATGTGTACATTTTATTTACTCTTGCAGGAATATATGCATTGATCTCTCTGTGCATAAATCAAATTTTATCAGTTTGATTTCTACGCCTGAATTTTTAAAAAATGTGGCTGCTGTTTCAGCTATGATGTCTATTTTGTGTTATGCATATATATATATATATATATATATATATATATATATATATATATATATATACAAGTATATGATTGGTGTATACGAAATAAATTGTTATAATTTTTAAATCATCATTTGATAAGACACCAGAGGTGTTGAAACAAAATGGCTATTTTTGTAGTGATTTTATAACATATTTATGTTATAATTTTTAAATAAATAATTATATATATATATATATATATATATATATATATATATATATATATATAATCCTTTCTAGTTCTCTAATCAGCTTGATATTAAATTGAAATTAATCAAGGAAGGTGGCATAGATTTTTCTTACCTAAGTACATTCAATCTCTTCAAAGATCATCCTCAGGCATGTTTTGCAAAGACAAACTTCTTGTAACCATGACCATCATAATGGTGATTTTTGAAAACATGTTGTGATGGTCATTTTTGAAAACTTACTTGGGTAAGAAAAACTATGGCACCTTCCTTGATGAATATGAACTTAACATAAAGAAGCTGATTAGCGAAAGGATTATTTAGAAAATAAATAGACATAATATGTCTATATCATTTAATGAGACATGTTTAAATGAATATATGCTGCCTAAATGTATGTATATATATATATATATATATATATATATATATATACACACACACACCACACACACACACATGTATAGATAATATTAGTGGTCAATACACACACACACACATATATATATATATTTTATATATATATATATATATATATATATAAAATATATATATATAAATATATACATATATATTCCTGCAAATTTTTAAAACTACAAAAAAAACAAATTAAGGTATAATAGCGTCACTTGACGTTGAAAACTTATTTACAAACGTCCCCGTCAACCAAACTATTGACATTATCCTCAATTCTCTAATTCCATCCCTCCGCCATCCATCAAACTATCCATCCTAAAAAAAATTACTACACGCATGCACAACCAAAGTTCCATTCTATGACCATAATGGCAATATTTACACCCAAACTAATGACGTTAGTATGCAAAATCCACTCGGTCCATGCTTTTCCAACTATTATATGTCCTACGTAGAAAATACTACAGTGTAACCCGGATATAAGAGACCCGGATATAAGAGAAACCCGGATATAAGAGAGATTTTCTCTGGTCCCAAATTAGAGCCTGTATTCATGTATATAAAATAGACCAAACCCGGATATAAGAGAAACCCGGATATAAGAGACTTCTTCTCCAGTCCCGACAACTCTCTTATATCCGGGTTACACTGTATATTTACACAGGTCTGCAAACCGAAAATATATGTTCGCTACGTAGACGATATTTTTATTTTAGCTAATAACATTAAAGAAATAGGGACACTTAAGACCACATTTGAGAAAAACTCCATCCTTAACTTTACCTATGAACTTAGCCAAAAAAACAAACTTCCATTCTTAGATGTTCTCGTTGAATACAGCAATAACACTTTCATTACATCATTATACAAAAAACCCACCAGCAAAAACTAGTGACACCTTAATTTCAAAAGCGAATGTCCACTTAGGTACAAAATAGCTGTAATAAAAAACTTTCTAAATAGAGCACATCAGAATTCATCTTCTCGAATACTCTTCCTCAAAGAACTTAATAATGTTAAACAAACACTAATCAACAACGGCTTCCCTAACCACCTTATAGACCACCAAATTAGACTATTTCTCCCCAAAGCAAAGTAATAATGATAGCGAACACACAGCCAAAAATCACATACACATTTATTACTGTCGGAGTTACCTCCTCCTCCTATCCTTGAACTGGCAGAGGAACAGGTCTTTTCGACCTTGACCTCTCATTCATACTCCTCACACACTGTTAACACGTCAGAGGGACTAGCAAATCCCCATTTTTTAGTTAGGCTATATTACAAACCTAGGTGTAATATACATCTAGTCATTTTTAGACCATAGTTATCTTTAGCTAACCTTGTAGTATTTTTTTATAGAGACTTTTCGGTTAGCTTAGCCAATTTCTCTTGCTGGTCCCCCTCGACACAAGACAGTGATTTCTCCCAAGCTTTGGGGAGGCTGTCGGCGGCCGCAACGGTCGTCTACGCAGGCCCCTTGGCCATCATTGGCCAAGGGCGCCGATCTACGGGCTGTGTATTGAGTTACGCTCCCATTTCTTTTTGTCTGCCAACTTGACGATAGTTGGAAACTTTCTTTCTCTCTTCCTTCCCAACACGTCAAGTTGGCATCCAGGCAATGACAAACAACGTTGGCAACACGAACTGCTGCAACAAGTTGGCACCCCGGCAATGACAAACAACGAGTTGGCAACACGAACTTCAGAAACAAGTTGGCACCCCGGCAACGACTCAGCTTCAACAACCAACAAAGATCATCCTGGCATCACTCAACATCAACAACCAACAAGCGATCATCCTAGCAACAACCCACATCAGCTTCAACCCCCAACAACGATGATCCTAGCAACTGCCAACCTCGACCATTAATGCCTGCACTAAAACTTCTGCAGTATCCAGCACTCCTGCAGTATCCAGCACTCCTGCAGCATCCGGCTCACTCCTGCAGCTTCCAGCACCTCCACCGTTTCCGACCATCTTCATTTCCTTTTAGAATAAACCTCTATATATCATATATATCCTCGTTCTGTCGTCCATATTGTTTCACGGTCAGATTTAACGTCTTCAAAAATGTTAGCGGGCCTCTTGTGACCTCGTTCACCCCTTTCCGTGATACGGGGCCACTGGACCGCCCGCTACATTACAAAAACCAAATGCATATTAATTACAAACAAGACAAATCTTCACTAAGGCATATTATGAAGAAATATACTACTACTCCAATTGACCCAAATAAAAAAATAAAATTTATTATCTATTATAAAAAATTTAAGACAGCCAACCTTATCCTCAAAAATAACAACACACCAGCTAAGTCAAAATTACAAAGAACGAACATTATCTATGAGTTCAAACGCCCCTTAAGAAACTGTGTTCCTGATCAAACCGGACTTATAAATAATTACACAACCACAAGCTTATCCAGACGTCTTACGTTACACCTATCTGATCACAGCTCTATTAGAACCCATTTAAACACACACACAAATTTAACAGACTCCATTAGAAACATACTAGTAGAAAACACAAATATATTAACTGCATCCACCTGCAAAAAAAAGACTAAAAATAATGGAAGCTTTAATAATAAAAAAGAAAAAGCCAACTCTTAACAATATTAACTACTAACAAAGCCATAATGTGCTAACTGTATTCAGAAATTAAAAACATTCCTGCCACACACTAAAACATACACATAAATGCATACACTCAATTAAGCTGTAAAATCGAATCATCCTTGATAATGACTAAAGGTATAGCCGAAAGCGCTCGTAAATATAAAATATTTGGACAGAGGATAGAATCTAGGTAGAACTCAATGTCCAGGACAGAGTAAGAATATA